TTTTGTCAGTTGATATTTTTCTGTTTGCTACTGGTAGCAAAAAAGGAAACCTGTAAGAGTAGAACTTTTATTTCCCAGATCAGGAAAAGTGGTGAGGGATACACAATTTAAATAAATGAAGGGGGCGTGCATGCATACTTGAAGGGCAGAGAGTCAGATGGGCAACGATAAGAGAATGACGTGTCTGCTGTTTATTACAAGTGATCGAAACACCCTGAAGATAAGTCTAAGGTTCTCACTCCTGGGGATTTGCATCAGACTGGTAGCAGCATAAATCTGGACTCAATATATTTTATCTTGAGGGCGAAAAATAGAAGAATACTCATTATAAATCTCAAAGTGAGAGAAGGAAGGCAGAGGTGAGAAGACCATCTCCACTGGGTGTTCACTGTATTCTGCCTTCTAAGAGACATTTTAGTCAAGTTGTGTAGAGGTCTGTCAAAAGCCCTAATTTTAAAGAACAGAGGACAGCTTAAAGAACAGTTTTTAAAAATTAAATGCAAATTGTCCTGTGTGGTAAGATGTTTTTTTAATGAGTTAAACTTTTTTCTGTATTTATGGATGGGTTGATATTTTTGTTATGCCGTCATGAACATGACTTAAAGGGAAATTGAGCAAGCTTTAGGAATATTATGAATTGCATTTTAATCACTTTCTACAGCTTTTACTTTATGGTCTTAAGAAATCCATTTCAAGCAATGGAGATCAGTATTTTCTGATAGTGTAACTTTTTCCTGTTTGAGACTGTTATTTGCACTATTTCCACACTGTTTGCTTTACTGTACAAAATGTGCAGAACTCACTGAAGATGTTTTGGTGCTCATCCTATTGCCACACTCTGTCTGAGCTTTAAAGTCATAAAACTTAATGTTTGGATAAAACCTGATAAGCAGTTTGATTTTCACACAGATTTGGAACCACAAGACAGTTTTAGAGAAACAAAGATTTCATAATGTAAAATATCAGCTCATTATCTTCAAAAAGATTCTGAGAGAGGCACATTTTGTAGGGAGACAACAAACACATACAGTACAAGTAAGGTTTTTAAAAAACAGGTTGTTATCCATCATTGCCAGGTAGGACTGTGTACGTGTGTACTGTATGTCTGTTGGTTCTGTAGCACCATCAAGATTCATTCATCTTGTCTTATTGCAATGAATTAATAACCTTTACTCGTGAATTTTAAGGATGAATACTGATTTTGACAAAACTGGCAGGCCATACTAACAGATAAGGCATATAGAAAACCAATACATAAATTAACATATGAATAATTTACACAAATGTACATAGAAAGTGTCTTGTTCCAGGATGAGGACAACAGATGAGTATGTAAAAAAGTTATGATATGCTATAGAAGAGGTCATGTGACAAGTGTGTACACCAAGCCTTCAGCTCAACCTATCTTTATGTAAATAAATTCTTAACAGTTTTCTAGTCTTACAAGTAATTTTTTTCATTGTTTCTTAAATAACATTTCTTTGTAACTATTTATGCCTGGAATCAACTCCTTATGAAAGCCTTGTTTTATAAATATGCATGGTGTTTCCATATTTTGCTATAGTACTTTTTAACATTTTATGTTCCATTTTAATTTCCATTGATTTACCTTTCTTTTTCATGCTGTTTACAATTCTTTCACTCTGGTGCACTGCACATGTTTATGATATGCTTTAGCATAAGGAACAAGTAAATGGTTTATTCCATGCTGAAAAGAGAAGAAAGAAAACACAACGTTTCGGCCATGGAGCATTCTTCAGGTGTGAGGTGTGATACCTTATCCTCTGCATTTCCAGCCCTGATCAAATGCCTGCTTAGCACAGATTCTGAGGAATTACCATACCTTCCTCACATCTCAAGAAGGCTACACAGCCGGTTTTGTTTTCTTTCTTGTCTTTTCAGCATGGAATAAACCTATTACTTGGTCCTTTGCAGCCTATGCATGCTGATGCAGCTACCCACCTGAACTTCTTTAGCATAATATGTACTCATTTAAGACTTTGCTGTGCTGCACTTACTGCAAGAATGTTCACAATTGCTTCTCATGATGGAAATATCACAAAGTGAAGAGAATGGATGTGGAAGAACCGTTAAATTACGTTGATTGACCAATTAACCCTTATACAACTTCACACTAGTGTTGATGCAGTTTCACACCCTATCCTCTGTGTTTCTAGCTCTGATCAAATGCCTGCTTAGCACAAATTCTGAGGAATTACCACAACTTAGGTATTGGCACGTGAAGTTGCTGAGCCAGTTTGGACCAGACCTTGGTCAGAGAGGGGGGAAGAGTTAAAAAGATAAGTTATGAGCCTTTATCTTCAGCCAAGAACAGAAAACTTTTTGAACAAGGACAGATTGTGGAAGAGATTACAACCCTGCACCCAGGAGATGACTCAGAAAATAGAGACTTCACAGAAAGCAGCTGAGAAAGGCTTCAGCATCAACTTTCTCTCCCCCTACCTGATGTTGGTGTCAGGGAAATCAAGATAGGGGGAAAACATGAGGGATTATGTTGTCCAGGACAGCCAGGCCTGGAGAAGGAGCCCAAGAACCACCAATGGAACTACTGTACAACTAGGGAAGAGTACTGCTGGACTTTTCCTCAAGGACATTGGGTGTGGTTACTGGGTAACTGGGGTCCAATGGGGTACTTGTGCGGGTATAGAATGTGTGTCCTTTGGTGTCAGTATTTAAATAATGTGCCCTGGGGTTTGAGTAGAATCACTAGAAAAGATAAAGGCAATAAAACAAACAATTATGTCAGTTGTTGGTCTGTCCATGTATTTGTGATTCTGGGAGATAAACAGAATCTGTGGCAAGGTTCGAATGTCCTAGTCTTCATAGATTGTGTTAAGACACAATCATAGTCTTAACGTACAGCATATGACATAATAATAATAATAATAATAATAATAATAATAATAATAATAATTGCTTACACTCATATAGCACTTTTCTGGACACTCCACTCAAAGCGCTTTCTGGTAATGGGAACTCACCTCCACCACCACCAATGTGCAGCATCCACCTGGATGATGCGACGGCAGCCATAGTGCGCCAGAACGCTCACCACACATCAGGTATCAGAGCAGAGTAAATTAAGCCAATTCATAGATGGGGATTATTAGGAGGCCATGCTTGGTAAGGGTCAATGGGGAATTTGGCCAGGACTTTGGGGTTACACCCCTACTCTTTTCGAGAAACGCCCTGGGATTTTTAATGACCACAGAGAGTCAGGACCTCTGTTTTACGTCTCATCCGAAGGACGGTGCCTGTTTACAGTATAGTGTCCCCGTCACTATACTGGGGCATTAGGACCCACATGGACCACAGGGTGAGCACCCCCTGCTGGTCCCATTAACACCTCTTCCAGCAGCAACCTTAGTTTTCACCAGGAGGTCTCTTATCCTGGTACTGACCAGGCTCACACCTGCTTAGCTTCAGTGGGTTGCCAGTTGTGAGTTGCAGGGTGATATGGCTGCTGGCTGATGAAATGGCTGCTCCCATAATGAAAGCATGGGAGCTACCTGCTATTGAAATTAATTTTAAGAAACCCATAGCATTAATCAAAATGTCTTGACAGTACATGTGTAGGAGGTTCTCACTTACCTGTACATTTCAGAGGCTCATAGCTGTAATTTAAGTGTAATTTATGGTGTTTGATGAGAAAAAACTCTCGAACAAAGACTCACGTTATCTTGTTGCAGTTGCATAGATGTTTGCTATCCTGAAATATTGACTGTCAGTCACTCTTGGCACATGTGGAAATCTTCAACAGTCAGCATTTGCTAGGCAACAAAACACTTTTTTTATGTGCTTATGCTGGCGTCTTCTGAGCACAGTCTGAGTGTTCCAGGGACATCAAGCCAGCAGGATAGAAGGAAACAGGTGTCATAGAGGAAAACATTTGTCAGCTTCCATGATATAACAATACAAATTTAAAATGTTTAGCACGACAATGGGAGTGAGACCAGTTGATTGTCCCTATAATCACAGCAACCTGTCAGGAGTTGATTTTATTTTTAAATATTTTAAAACTTTTTATATTTTAGAGGCTGAATGGCCTCCTTTCTTTTTTTAATGTTTTTGTTCATGGTGTTATTAAACTATCCCTATCACAGAAATTATAGATCACCAACACAGTACACAGTGGGACATACTGTAGTACTGTGTAAGATATGATATAGAATCAATTAGGGTAAAATAATGTAAGACAAATTTTTGGGGAACAGTAATTTAATAATTTATTTTTACTAAGGCTGCAAAGATATCAGCCATTGCTGTTGACAAAAATTATTGTGCAGCTTGCATCCTTCATGTTCCAAGTAACCATGAACCACATGAATTTTATCTAAGGCACTGGAGACATAATTTGGTTAGAATAGCATGTTTATTTTCAGGTTACGTCCCACACAAGAGGCTAATGGTAAGAAACATTCTTGTCAAGAACAGGGTTTTATGTCTTCATGGTTTTTAAATTTCCTTGATGTGAAATATTTTGAAATCTGTGCCTTGTCTCACTCCAAAAAACAAACAGTATATTATGAAATTCATGTGTTGCATGTCGGCAACATTCCAGCTTTGATTTGAGAATTTAAAGAAAAGTATTCCTTTTCCTTGAATCAGTTTCTTTTTGTCTTTTCTTGTAATTGAATGGTGTGTGTGTGTCAATTCCTCACTTCATTGTGAAACAGAGCTTCTGTTTATTTAAGTGTTTGTCTAGTTTTCTTGCTGAGCTTTAATTAAAGGAATTTTACCATCTGCTTGTGTTTCTGAAGCAAAGTCCAATAGGACCAAAAGCTGACAGCACAAACTCCTGAAGCCCTTGTTAATAAATAAAACACCATCTGTAGTCTGCTTGTGATGCAGGTGTTGGACTGTCCTCTATTGTCTTTTGGTGCTTTCAGAAGAAGGCCTCATTAGTCTGATGAATCCAATCGCATCTGCTCTCATGTTTTTCTTACCTGTTTTTTTGATCACTTTTGTGTCTACTACAGCACATGCGTCTTGTGTTTTCCATAATCTGGGGAGGGAAAACTGGCCGAACTTGAACTGCATCAAGGACCTAATAAGACCAGATCAACCAAATACACTCTCAACCTTCAAGACAGGTAGAATTCAGACACAAGGCCTCTTCTATTCAAATATCTATTGCCCAACACATTTTTTTTTGTCTTCAGATCTCTTTGATGAATTAGAAATACTAATTGTAAGATTTCCCACTAGGCATTGTAGGCACAGTGCCTAGGGCCTACGAAAGTTTTAGGGCCTACGAAGGAGGGAAACACTAGTGACTAACGAAAAATGAGCTGAAACAACATGCTTGCAATCGACTCTAGGTGCTCCAAATTAATAATCATATGCTATCTAGTGGCTGTTCTAGAAACTAGAAATATCTAAGTGATGGCCACTCGATTCGCTCCATCAATCATGTGGTTTAGCATTAGAATAGTTTAAAGTGCATCATGTCAAGCAACGTAATTCATTTGGTTTAGCCCTCTTTTTGCGTATTTCGGAGTCAAAGTGCCTAGGGCCTACGAACACCAAAATCTATCCCTGATTCAGCTGCAAACTTAAATCTCAGAACAGAAGTTTGTCATGGCTGCACTCTAAGAGACTAAGAAATGTGTCATAAATGTCATAATGGAAGTGGAAAAACAGATGTGTTACACAGATGGGTTAAATTCCATGGGTCTCAATTACAGAAATAACAACAAGCATGAACAATACCAAAAGCCCCCAGCCTACAAATACAAAGTCACAGAGAATCTACCTGCAAGACTGTCCCCCTGCTTCTGCTCTTTCTACTCCTGCTTCCTGATTTTCATCTGCCTTTCTGCTGCTCCCTTGTCCAGATCCTCCTCATGGAGCAAGAGAAAGAGAGAAACATTGTAACTAGTTTCCCAGTTATCCTGTATACTCATTTGCTACCTTATGCTCCTTCCTGCTGTTCTTTCCTGTAGACAGTTGGATCTCTTTCACCATGATTACCTTGTCACTTCCCCCTTTTCCAACTCCCAGACATTGTATTATTGCAGGCGGTCTTTGGAACTGGTAGTCAGTCTCTATCCAAGCTAAATTTATCTCTGCTTTTGCCCATCTCTCTCTTTTGAAAACATGAAAATTCCACTACTGAGGAGCCCTCTCCTCTTCCATTATCCCTTGTTCTCTCTAGACAGAGTCTTGGCACAGGACAGGACTGCTATTTTTTCCCCTTCTGGTTGCTCTCTGTCCTGTTCTGTTCCTTCTCTCTGTTACCACATTTAACTTTCATGATGATGACATACATTTCCCTACTCGACTCCTCAAAATTATTCTCTACCTCCCCACTGACACTCTACTTTATTTTGGTGATTTTTTTTTCTTTCCTGCCACTTTCCCTTTTTGCTAGGTAACTTTATCATTCACCACCTTAATTGCATCTCCGCAGCTGAGATAAGTAGGAAGTGTTAGATAAGTTGACAAGTGCTTAGTCTTTCCATCTAGCCTTCCTCACAAAACTGGTCATAAACTGATTCCTTATCCTCACCAACTCCTCTGTCATCCTTCTCGAGTATTCTGACTGTTGCTTCATCTCCATCACTCTCACACCGTTACATCTCTGTTCCATCAGCTCCCATTGTCACCTTCTGCCATCATCTCCACTCGGTTTCCTTCTCCTCTGCATGCTCATGCTGTCACGGATGTCGGAAAGGATGAACCGTGGAATGGCAGGAGAGCGAAAATAGATCCTATGTGTAGCAGCAAGACGGGGGTTAGCCCAGGCTCAGCTGTTCAGGAAATGCCGTATAGAAACCTATTGTCACGGACGTCCAAAGGGACTAACTGTGGGGAGCAGAAGAGCAGAAAAAGACCCATATGCGTAGCGGCGAGACGGGAAAAAGGCCCGGGCTCATTAGTGCAAAGAGTTCAGGAATGCCGTATAGAAACCTATGCCCTCAGGGAGCAGACGTGGGGCGCCCTGGTGCTAGGCGGGTCTCAGGACATCCGAACATCAATGCTTATCGAGGAAAGAGTGCAAGACCCGGAAATATATAGCCCAAGGAAGAGAGGGACAGGAAGGACAGCAGACCGGAAACTAGGGACAGGACAGAGAAGGAGCGCCCTCTGGCTGCAGAGGGCGTGACACCTATGCCCTCAGGCCATGGACATGAGCGACCTGGTGCTAGGTGGGTCTCAGGACATCCAAACCTCAGTGCTGAGTGAGGAGCAGAGCAGAAGCAGGAAGTAAATAGGCTACACAACAAGACACACCAGAAAGACAAGAATAATCACAGGGAACTAGGAACAGGAGTGAATTAGAGCACCCTCTAGGTGTACTGGGCGTGACACATACCTTCCCCTTACTAATTATTCTCTAAACAATCTTTGACAATCTTTGTTACCTCTACCTTTTTCCTTTTCTCATCCTTTGTTATTTTAAATCCTCCTCTGGCAGGGAACCCTTTTTCCTTCATGTTTTAAGAGGTTTGGGCACTTTGAGGGAGACCTTTTTTTATCTCTCTTTTAAGCAGAATCGCTCTATGTCTTTCAAACCTCCTAGTTCCCATTTTTTTCCATTTGAACTGCCTTCTCAAGTTTAAACCAAAATTGTGAGATATTGATTGAGTTCTGGAAGTTGATTATTATCATCGGTTTTTGGCCAGGCCCGGGCTTCTTGGCAGAAAAAAACGAATGTTTGGCCAAAATGTATATGTTGGAGTTCAAGATTGTCCACTATCTTAATAAGGGCACCAGGACCCATAGATGCCAAAAGGCCTCCAAACATAGACCGGCCACTAATTCTAACAGTGGATATGTGTTCACAACGAGTTTAACCTTTTTTTGATACTCCAACCATAATACTGATGAGCATGTTGAAAAAGATAAATTTCCATTTCATCTGACCTGTTTCTATTTTCTATTTCATCTGACCACCAGATGTGGTTCCAGGTGTCTTTCACATGCAATTTTTGCATAAACACATTTCATTTAATTTCAAATTGATGATGCCAAATTGTAGGTTTTGATACTTTGAATATGTTAACTGTTCATGTAATTGTTGCCTTTAGATTTTACAGTTGCCTCATGAACCACTTGCTTCACAGACCATTGTGACAAGACACACCTCTATCCTCTTCCATTTGTGGATACAGCTATCCCATCCATCCATTCATTTTATAAATGTTTCATGCAAATTACAGTCGCTAGGGAACTGGAGTGTAAACCGGCAAACCATAGGCGCAAAGCAGAGTAGACACACATTGGAGGGGAAGCACATTGACACTAACTCACATACATCAGAGCCAGTTAATCAATTAACCTACAAGTATGTTTTTTTTAATTTTGGGAGGAAACTGGAGCACCCAGTGAGAACCCAAGTGAACACAGGAATTCAAGCCTGAGCCCCAACGCTGCAAGGCAGCAATATTAATCACTGGACTGGCATGCCACTGTCTGCTATACCAATAGACTTCAATTCCATCATAATGGAGACTGCAGAGGAAAGAGTAGATTTAGCTTTCTTTTATAGGCATCCCCCAACTTGTGGAGGTCAGTGACGTTTTGCCTGCTATGTTCTGAGATCTCTCTGATCTTAACCATGATACTGCATGCAGCTACTGTACTTCATGTCTTCCATATGGAATCCTCCTTTTATACCCCAGGGAAAGGGGAAACCTTCAGAGGTCTCTATATGGCTCCAGAGGCTTCCATTGCCCTTCCAAAGCGTTTGTAGATTTATTTTTGTTGGATTTTATTTAAAGGAATATTTGGAGCTCTGAATTAATGTGACCCTGGTGTTTTCTGAAATTAAATTAATTATTTATGACAAATATGACTTTGCCTTTTGCAATTCTATTGCAATTACAGTAAAAGACTTTTATAATAGTTTTAAGCAATCCATAACTCATTCTATTATACAGTGTGATGTTTTGGTTCATATTTCATCAGGTGTATGAATAAATCTAGAGGACACTAGACACCATGAGTAACTGAACACAGCTTTTATATTCACAACATTTATTCATACTTTTTTAGTTCAAATCTTAGAAGACATTCTAAATGGCTAGTGTGTCAATTATTTTAATACAATAAAATTCAGAACTTGTAATTCTGTTGAAAGACTGATAATATAACCAATACACATCACATCACAGACTTTAAATATACATGAACATTCAACACGTTGTTTCAGGTCGACATAAGAACTTGTTTATCAATCAGCAACAGAGGTAAAGCCCTCCTTAATGGCCTTTGGCCCAAGTTAAAAGGGACCCTAGTCATCCATGTAACATTTCACTTGATTGACTACCAGGCAGAAGGGATCATCTGAGGTAACTGAATGTTGTTGTTTATTAATTAACAAATGAGCAACAGCTTTTGCATTAGAATGTGCAGAGCTGGCATTCATTCTTCTTTTCTGTTGTTACTGATGTATTCCCAGGACATGCTCGTGCCTTCTGTTGCGAACGGCATTTCACAACTGGCAGTGAGGTATTTCTCTTTCCTTATGTGTGCTGTGCGGTGCTTGAACACCAAAGTTCTTCAGTCTTTCTCCCTGTCTAGCTGTCTAGGTGAACAAGTTAATGAAACCCTCAGGGCAATTTAATGATGGCTTCTTCTGTTTGATGTAGTGTATAACAGCCTTGGAGTATATTGTTTTATGGAAGCTGCTCCTTCTCATTGAACATAGTTATTGTTTACTTTGCAATTGAAAAACACAAAGAAAACAGGGCAGCATTCTGTGTATCATTTTAATATGATAACATTTTTCTGTTTTTTTTTCACGGTGACTGGTAATTAAGCTCTATCACCCATTCTTGTAAAATACAAGGGAGTACACTGAGGAACAAACCCTGAGGATTTCAACAGCAAGGAGAGGGTTTTTTTGGATAAAGAGGACAATACCTTCAATAGCACTCAATGCACACACTACACAGAGCGTAACACATGTACAAATTATTTTCTAAATTGTCGATCCAATAAAAAGAAAGACAATCAAATAGTAATTTTCTTCATCTACCTTGCCCCCTCTCTGCTTTGGAATATTTGGTGGATTACCATAGAGTAACTTTCCAGGCTCACGACTCACACAAGATATGGATGCCATCAAGTGTAAATAAGGTGCAAC